CTACTCCCTCCCCCCCCGCATGGAGAGTGCCCCCTGCCACCTGTGGACAGCCCCAGCCCAGCAGGGTCTCAGGGCAGGCCCAGCTGGAATTTCCTTCTCACCAAATATCCCTGACAAAAGAGAGGATGCCCCCAGTGTGGGGGCGGGGCCTGTGTGATTTCCCCTCCAGGGCAGGCAAGGTCTGGAGCCTCTGTGCACCCCTCAATACAGAGGTGGGGGGCAGGATATTACCCCCCCCCAGGGGTCACCCCCGTTAGACTGCCCAGCTCAGGGATTCCATTCCCCTCCCCCCACCCACGGTCACTCCTGTTAGACCTGCCCGGCTCAGGGCATCCCCCGCTTTCCTTGGCCATGGTCTCCGTCACTCCCTCCCTGACCTTTGCAGGACCATGTTAGGCCTCATCGTTCTTTTGATGTTCTGGTTCTCCTGCAGCAGTTCCTTCACGATGTGTGCAGTGTCTTCAGCGGTGTACAGGCCAGGGTAGGTGCCCTCTCTCATCAGATCCACCAGCTTCTGCATGGTGCCCGGCCCCACCCCCTGGTGCACCAGCACCACGGTTCTCGTGTTCAGGATCCCAGCCTGCCAGCTGGCTTTCCTGATCAGCTCCCTCACCTCCCACTCCCCCGCCTGCCCTGTCAGCTCAAAGAGCTGGGAGGCAGTGGCATGGGCAGCCACGGCCACCAGGGACCTCCTGCCGGTGGAGAGGTGCAGGGAGAGGAGGGCACCGTGCCCCTCTGGGCAGCACAGCACCCGCAGCAGGCGCACCAGGTGCTGGGTGACTTCTCTGCACAGCACAAAGCCCCTGGGGAGGAAGGTGCTGAGTTGCTGCTGGATGGTGTCCCAGCACCTCTCGTGGTAGAGGCTCTCCCGGCTGGAGGAGGCCGGCGCCAGCTCCCTGCTGAAGAGGATGTTGCGCACGTCCTCCCCTGGCAGCAGCAGGAGGTGGGAGGGCAGCAGGGGCTTGATGTTCTCCTTCTTGGTGGAGGGCCTGCGCTTGCTCTTCAGAGGGGTGGTTCGGCGGGTGCTGGTGCGGCGCCCCATGGCCAGGTGCTGCTCCTGGAAGCGAGGGCGCAGGGCTGGAGAGGGCTGGATGGAAGCCATTCTCCTTATCCCAGTCGCCTCTGCCCCCTCGGGCTCCAGTGCGCCCAGGGCAGAGTCCCCAGAGGGCGCTGTGTCCGGCTGGTCCAGGGCCAGGGCGGGGGCCTGGTCTATGGGATCGAAGGCGTCTGGGCAGTCCCCGTCGCTGCTGCTCTGCGAGGAAGGCTCCTCGTGGCTCTCAGCTCCCAGCTCCATGTCAGTGTCTTGCCCGGCAGGCTCCGTGACGCTCCTGGCTCGCTCGCGCTGCTGCGGCTCCCTGTCGCTGGTGGAGATCACCCTCAGCACGCTCCTCTTGGTGCAGAAGGTGCTGGTAGCCACGTCCAGCAGCAGCTGGCCGCTCTCCTGCCGCTCGCTCTCCGACAGCAGCGGGTCGCAGAAGGTGCGTAACGACTCGTGCAGCCACAGGCGGACGATGACCCGGGTGCTCAGCGTGAGGCTAAGGCTTATCCCCGGCTGGCCTCGCTTTGCAGCCTTGGGCGTGCTGGGCTCCTCCAAGGGGCTGGTGAGGTGGATCCCAGGGCAGGGCCGCAGGAGGAAGAGGCCCCTGAGAACCTTCTCGATGTGGTGGTAGGAGAAGAGGTAGGGGGAGCAGGCGGGGGAGGGACGGAACCTGGCCTTCACGGCCTCGTACCCATCCACAGTGGCCCCCACCAGCGCAGTGGCCAGCTCACTGTGCCTGGCCAGCAGCGGGAACTTCTCCAGCCAGGCCAGGACCAGGGGGCTGTGCATGCAGATCAGAGACTCCCTGGAGACGCTGGGGAGCGAGAGGATGCTGCAGAGCCGAGTGAAGCGAGGGGAGAGGGGGTGCACGCCAATCGCTGGGGCAGCCACCAAGCCAAAGCAATTGAACTCTGCTGAAGGGATGTGTCGGAGCTCCAGGCTCTCGGCGCCGTAGACCTCCTGGTGGGAGAGGGCCTGGCGCAGGGTCTCCACCACGGGGTGACTCCCCTGCCTGGCATCTGGGAGAGAAAGGACCATCACGCCTTGGAGCAGCCTGTCTAGCCCACCCACAGGAGCCAAGTGCCAGGGGCAGGACGGCACTAACACACACAGCCCCGGGACTTAGCCACCCCTGGGTGACTGAGCCGAGCCAGGAGGAGCCGGGCCTTGCAGAGCCCTGGGGTAGGGAGTGGCCAGGCCCAGACAGGGGGTTCCAGACCTAATGATGGGGAGCTGGGCCCTGTACAGCCCTGGGGGTTGGGGTGTCCGGGAGGGTTGCCAAATTTCTAATCACACAAAACTAAACACCCCTGCCTTGCCCCTTCCCCAAGATCCTGCCCCTTCCCTGAGACCCCCCACTCACTCCACCACCACCCCTGTCGCTCACTCTCCCCCACCCTCACTCACTCATTTTCACCGGGCTGGGGCAGGGGGTTCCGGGAGAGGGTGAGAGCTCCAAGGTGAGGCCAGAAATGAGGGATTCGGGGGGAGGGGGAAAGGGGCTCCTGGCTAGGGCGGGGGGGTGAGGGCTCTGGCTGGGGGTGCGGGCTCTGGGGTGGACCTGGGACTGAGGAGTTTGGGGTGTAGGAGCGGGCTCTGGCCCGGGGCAAAGGGGGTCAGAGTGCAGACAGGGCTCTGGGCTGAGGCAGGTGGCTGGGGTGCGGGAGGGAGTTTGGGTGCAGAAGGGAGCTGAGCGCTGGGGCAGGGGGTTTGGGGTGCAGGCTCCGGGCAGTGCTGACCTCAGGTGGCTCCCAGAAGAGATGATGTCTCCCTCGGCTCCTAGGCACAGGGGTGGTTCCCGACCAATGGGAGCTGTGGAGGTGGCGCTCAAGGTGGGAGGCAGCACGGAGCCCCCATGGCTGCCCCTGTGCCTAGGAGCCAAGGGATATGTCACCACTTCCGGGAGCCGTGAGGAGCCGGGCAGGGAGCCTGCCTGCCCCACTGCACTGCCAACTGGAGCCCTGGGGCAGGGGGTGTCTGGCCCCAGCCAGGGGATGTCTGGCTCCAGCGATGGGGAGCTGGGCCCCTCAGAGCCCTGGGGCAGGGGGTGTCCGACTCCAGCAATCGGGAGGCAGGGGGAGCCGGGCCCCGCAGAGCCCTGGGGCAGGGGGTTCTGGCCCCAGCCAGGGGGTGTCTGGCTCCAGCGATCGGGAGCCGGGCCCCGCAGAGCCCAGGGGCAGGCGGTGTCTGGGCCAAGGAGCAGGAGCCAGGCCCCACAGAAGTTACGTGGCCATTTCCAGCTCGGCCCAGGGCACTGTCTGACGTGAGGCGGGGGCTCACTCAGCTCGGCGGCGTGCAGGTCATCCAGCAGGAGCAGGTAGCAGCTCCTCCCGCCCCTGACGCCAGGGGGCCGGGACCCAGGGAGGCCGGTGAACAGGGCCTTGTCCCACATGCTGCTCAGGACGTGGCTCTCCAGCAGCCGGCGCACGTGGTCCGCGCCGAGGGCAGGCGAGATGGCGACACGATGGTAGGAATGATTGGGCTGGATCAGCTGCTCCGCGAAGGACGACTTGCCGCAGCTGGGCTCCCCAGCCAGGAGCACTGGCTGCCTCGAGCCCAGGAGCAGGTCCAGCACGTAGAGGAGTCGCTCGTACTGCAGAGCAGAGAGACCGTGCCAGGGAGGGGGCCCTGCGACTGTGTAGCACTTGACCAGAGGGGAGCTGTGACGAGCAGGGAGCGGGGCGGATTTGACCTGGGAATGTTGCAGGGGGGTTACATTGGGGATGGGGGACTTCCCTTGAAGGAAGCTACCTGAGCTGTAACCTGAGCCAGGAGGAGGGTTGGGAGAAGTGACACCTTCTGCCCGGGAGACTGAACAAAGGAGAGGAGCAGGAGAGGGGAGAGAGCTGGTGGAGGAGTTTTTTTGTTTTCAGTTTGGGCTGGATGGTGCAACACAGGGAACCCCAAGCTGGGGTCTAAGCTCCCTGAACCCCCCAGAAGGACTTGATTGAGGGGTTCTGGTTGTACCTACACGCTCTGCTTGGGACTGTGTTCCTATCACCTAATAAACCTTCTGGCTGAGAGTCATGGTGAATCTCAGGAAGAGGGGTGCAGGGCCCTGACTCCCCCACACTCGTAACAGGAGCACCATAGAGCAGGGGATCAAAGGCGAGGAGCCACGTCTCCGGCTGCATGGGGCTCTTGGAAGAGCTCCCAGCCTTACCCCCTCTGTGCCTCTAGCATCTGACCTCTCCTCTGGCATCCAGCAGCTCTGGCTGTCGCCAGTGGGAATGTTACAGTGTGTGATGGTCCTGGGTGGATCTAGGGCAGAACGGGGCAGCTCCCGGGAACCCCCTGGGGGCCAGTCATACCTGGGACAGCTCACAGGGACCCCCAGAGCCTGGCCATAACTGGTGCATGACAGGGCCTGTCATGGGGACCACTGGGCCTGGCCATACATGGGGCAGAATGGGGCAGCTCCCGGGAACCCCCTGGGGGCCAGTCATACCTGGGACAGCTCACAGGGACCTCCAGAGCCTGGCCATACCTGGGGCATGACAGGACCTGTCATGGGGACCACTGGGACCTGGCCGTACATGGGGCAGAAGGAGGCAGCTCCTGGGGACCCCTGGGACCTGGACATACCTGGGGGAGGACGGGGGCAGCTCACAGGGCCTGACTGTACCTGGGGCAGGATGGGGCAGCTCCTGGGGACCCCTGGGGCCTGGCCGTACCTGGGGCAGGATGGTGAAACTCTCAGGAACTGCCTTGATTCTGCCGGACAGATACTTCCCATCAAAAACCTCCAGTTTCCCATCCTCAGGCTGGGGATAGAGGTCAAAGACAGAATCGGCTGAAGGCAGCTCTATGGTGTAGCTGCTGCTGTACAGGACTCTACGGGCAAAGCTGTCAAAGATGGCCCAGTGTCTGCAAAAAATAGTCAGAGAGATGGACAGTGCCCTGAGTTGGCCCCAAAGAGCCCCTGCTGTAACAACTAGACCCACTTTGCTCCCAGAGCCAGGCTAGAACCCAGGAGTCCTGGCTCCCTGTTCTGCTCCATAGACCCCCTCCCCTCCCCTCCCCTCCCCAGGAGTCCTGGCTCCCTGTTCTGCCCCATAGACCCCACTCCCCTCCCCTCCCCAGGAGTCCTGGCTCCCTGTTCTGCTCCATAGACCCCACTCCCCTCCCCTCCCCTCTCCAGGAGTCCTGGCTCCCTGTTCTGCTGTTCTAACCCATAGACCCCACTCCCCTTCCCTCCCCCCCAGGAGTCCTGGCTTCCAGCCTCCAACCCCATCCTTGGAGTCCACATTCCACTGCTTCCGCCTCCCAGTGCTGCTCACTCATCATCCCCGCCGGCGTGGCTAGAGGGAGAAGGGCCATGAATGGCCCAGCCCCAGGGAACCCCTGGCTGGTACCTGGGGTGCAGGTGGCCACTGAAGCCCCAGATGTAGGCAAACACGAAGATGCTGCGGACAAGCAGGTGGTGATGGGGTGGGACAGCTTCATCCAAGCCCCCGTGTAAAGGGGCAGCTGAGACCCCAGCACCGCTGTTCTCAGCCACTGGGGAGAGAAAGTCAGTCACCCAGAGGCAGGGGACCCCAGCCTGGCCTGGCCTAGTGATAGCAGACCCCAGCCTGGGCCTGGCAGGTGCTGCAGAGCTCCGAGTAGGCCCAGGTTCCAGACTGGCCCTGTCACAAGCATTCATGGGCAATGACCCACCAAGGAGGATCCGTGCCAGTCACCCAGGACTCCCTGGATGGTGAGATCCTGCCCACCCAACAGAGAGCCCCGGGCAGCCTCCGCCATCAGGCCCCTTCCCTGGGGCTCTGCCCCTGCGCAGACCCCGGGGTGCCCAGAATGGGGGAACTCGGCTGGTCAGGATCAGCAGCACTGGGGACTGGTTCTAATCTGGACCCTGTAAGAGCAGGGGGGAACAAGGTCATTGGTCCTGCTGGGATTTCCCTCACCTGCCTGGTCCTCCCTTCTCAGGGGCTGGGCCTTCGCCTTGTCATGGCTCAGGTGTTGGTCCAGCAGAGCCTTCAGGAGCCTGGTGAAGGCTGTGGTCTCTGGGATGCCCCAGGCCACGGGGCTGCGCAGGTCGGCGTGAGGCTGCAGCACAGAGCTGCAATGCTGCTGCAGGAAGGTGAGCGTGGGAGGGAAGACATCCTCAGCGAGGCCACGCAGCATGACCACGCTCTCCTGGCTCACTCTGTACGTGTGGTAGATGGGGGCTAGGGATGACGCCAGCAGTGCTCGCCAGACACACGAGCCCCCACAGTGCAGGAGGGCGCAGTGTGTGGAGATGGATGGTGAGATGCTGGAGGCATCAGGCAGCTCAAAGAGGAACTTCACGCCCTCTGGGGGATGGAGCTGCTGCCCGTTTGGCAGGCTGAGAGTGGGCTCTGCGCTGAACAGCGACGAGATGGGATCCAGCCACTCGGAGCTGGCAAACCCGTCCAGCACCAGCCATTGCTGGGTGCCTGACACGCCCAGCCCAGCCGCAGGGGCTGAGGAAGCCATTCTCTGCAGGAGCCTGGAGAAAACGCCCTCCCTCCAGATGCCTCCCTCAAGCCTGCCCAGGAATTCAGCGGTGCTGAGGCTGTTGGGGCAGAGGCAGACAGTGCTGATGGGCAGGTATGCCACGTCCTTCCGAGTGCCTGGCCTGCCCGCTCCTGGCGCCAGCTCCAAGGACGCACTCACAGCCAGCCTGCTCAGCACCTTAGCCAGGGTCTTCCAGGCTGTGGTCTTGCCGCTGCCAGAGGGCCCCACCAGCAGGACCCCCGGTGAGCCCAGCAGGGCCTGGCAAAGCTGCACTATGGTGCTGGTGAGCTCGGGGTCTGCGTGGAGCTTGTCCTCATGCAGCTGTGCTGTCACAGCACTCAGCAGCCTGGGGGACGCCTGGGCCTCGGGGACCAGGGAGCAGGAGGCCGGGAAGACCCCTCGGAGCAGCTCCCACACTCTACTCCGCCGGGGGTCCTCCAGGGCAGACAAGAAGGGCGAGAGGCAGAGAGCTTGGATGAGGGCAGGCTCCTCCGCCAGGCTCTCAAAGGGTGACTGCTGGGCTGGGAGCTGCTCCCCGGGCTTGGGCTCGGGCTCTGGCCTCACCACAGGCGGATACACAATGCCAATGGCTGCCTCAATGACCCCCTTGAACAGGGCCAGCCGGCTGGGTGCAGGGCCCGGGCCCAGCTCCCCCTCCAGCCAGAAGAAATAGCTCAGCTTCTTGGCCAGGTGTGCTGCTTCCCGGAAGCCAGCTGCCAGCAAGGTCACCTCGGCCACCTGGTGCAGGTCGGGGGGCAGCAGGGCCACGGGGCGCAGGGCCAGGCGCAGGAGCTCAGGGAGACGCTGCAGGGTGGCTAGGCAGCCGTAGGTCTCCCTGACCCGCAGCAGCCGCTCCCCGAAGAGGATGTTGCCCAGCACGCGGGGCTGGTACGGCTCAGCTTCATTCAGGCCCAGCTCCGGCAGGGCCCTTGCCGGCTGCTCCTGCCCCTCCCCGTCCCTGCTCTTGGATCTGTGGCTGGGGCTCACCCGGCCCGTCTCCGCCTGCAGGCCCATGCAGAGCATCCGCAGGTCTGACAGGAGCTGGCTGAACCCTGACAGGACACCGGGCCCCAGCTGGTCCACAGCCTCCAGCAGCAGCCAGGCCCCGGCCTGCACAGCCCCACTCAGGTGTTGGCGGAGGCAGCCCAGGCCCATCTGCTGGGAGCAGTGCAGGGTGACGAGCTGGCGCCCCAGAGCCCTGGCCAGGTGCTGCATGGTGGCCGTCTTCCCGACCCCGTGGCAGCCCAGAGCCGCGCCACAGCGGAACTCCTCCAGGGCAAGCAGTAAGCCCAGGAAGCTCCTCTCCAGCTGAGGGCCCCCCACCAGGTGGGGGCAGTTCCCCACATACTCATAGCCATAGTGCAGGCGGATGTCGAGGACCTCGGCCCAGCAGCCGGGGGGGCTGGCGGCCCAGCTCTCAAGGGGGGCCCCGACTGCCCTGGCACTCTCGGGGTGCAGGACCAGCCGGTACTTGAGCAGCTGGGCCCAGGCAAAGGCGGTGGGTGAGTCGACCTTGCGCTGCAGCAGGTGGGCCAGCACGTCGCGCTGGCGCACGGTGACCGTGAGCAGGGCCCCCAGCAGCGTGCTGAGCTGGCTGCTGCCCGGCTGCCCGGCCTGGCTGCTGCGGTAGTTCCGGACATAGTGGGCCAGGGCCTCCAGCTTGAGTCGGTGTTTGAGCTTGAGGCCAGGCCTGCGCACGGGGCCGAAGAGCCGCTCCTGCACATCCGCAAACCACAAGGCCTCCTCGGCCAGCAGCACGCACTGGGCCGGGAAGCCTGTTGCCAGCTGCCCCCAGTGCTCCACCAGCAGGTGCAGCGGCAGCTCGGTGGGACCTGGGTGGTGCTCGAAGGCCACGTCGAGCTGGGGCCGCAGGGCCAGGCGCTGGGCCATGCATGCCTGCAGCAGGTGGAAGAGGGCCTCCTTCATGCGCTGCTCCAGGGCACACAGCCATTTAGTGACCTTCTGGTTGAGGAGCAACGGGGAACACAACGGCACCGTCTCCCCACAGGCTCCCACCAGGCCCGTGGCTTCTGCCATGGGCAGCAGGACAGCATAGGTGGCAGGGTCTCGAGTGGCCGAGGGCTCACAGAAGGCCAGCTGGTGCACAGTTGGGAAGCAGCGGCGGGCCCAGGTGGTCACCTCCATGGGCTCCGCAGGTGAGGCCATCATAGCCACCACCTCTGTGTTGCTGAGGAAGAAGAGGCGGGGGAAGCCCATGCGCGTAGCCTCCAGCACGTACTCCAGTCCGTGGATGATGAGCTGCAGGTCCTCAACACCCTCGCTCAGCATGGTCTGCAGGGGCACACCCATAAAGCGGCTCTCCCGGTTGGAGGTGGCCGTAGGCATCATGCTGGATAGCACCAGGGGGTGCTTGGATGTCACCTGCATGAGCTCCCGGAACCTGCTGTCCAGCTTCTGGAACAGGCAATCCTGGTGCGAGGAAAGCAAGCATCAGCCCTGCAGAAGGGAAGCCCCAAGAGGCAGGGAACTGGAGGCAGTGAGGAGGGGAGGGAGGACTCACTGGCTCGGGGCAGGGGCATGTGGTGGGACAGACGACTCACCAGCTCGCTGCTGGGCAGGCTGATGTCCATCTCATACAGCACTATATTCAGAAAAATCCACTTCTGCTGGAAACTGACCCAGACATCCAGCAGGGCTCCTGTGGAGAGAGGAGTCTGGGGGTGAGCATTCCTGGGGTGCCCTCCAGGGCACTGGCCCAGGTACCCTGTGAGAGTATACAAACCCCACACTGGAGAGGAAGGGGCTAGGGAGCTGCTCTCAGCCCAGGTGGCCCTACCCCACCGCACCTGCAAAGCCGACACAGGCTGGAGGTGAAGCTTACAAAGCTTACAGTGGCAGGCAGACAGTTGAGAGGAACCTGCACCGGAGCTCTTGGGAAGGAACACCACCGGAGCTCTTGGGAAGGGACACCACAGGAGCTCTTGGGAAGGAACACCACCGGAGCTCTTGGGAAGGAACACCACCGGAGCTCTTGGGAAGGACCACCACAGGAGCTCTTGGGAAGGAACACCACCAGAGCTCTTGGGAAGGGACACCACAGGAGCTCTTGGGAAGGACCACCACAGGAGCTCTTGGGAAGGGACACCACAGGAGCTCTTGGGAAGGGACACCACAGGAGCTCTTGCTACCTGAGGCCTGGCACTAGTGGCCTGTCCAAGCCCACAGAGGAGGGACTGGTGACTCTCTGAAGGCACAGACTTTATCTTGGTGGTTAGTTATTTACTTTAACCAATGGGAAGAGACAGGACTTGTAGGGAGGGAGCCGCACAGCACCTGAGGGTGCAGGACTTAGCTGCCTACTGTGACGAAGTGGGACTGTTCTTAATGTTTCCTCTGAATACTGTGTGGGTGCCTCAGTTTCCCCTATGCATTTCTTAAGTCTCTAGGTGGTGGGATAAAGGCCAGTGTGCATAAATCACTGACACTCTGTCTCCCTGGCAACTAATGGCCAGGCCCTTCCCCCCTGCAAGGGAATAGCTAAAGGTGTGGGAGAACAAAAGAGGTCAGGTGACCTCCTGGCCCGGGAAAGGAACTCAGCAGAGAAGAAGGGGCTGGAGGGGGTGTCAGTTTGGAGCTGGCTGGGGACGGGGAGTGAGGGCAGACGGGGGTGTCTGGCTCGCGGGACCTCAGAATGGACCCGGCTGAGGGATCCGGTTCTCTGGACCTACAAGCTCTGTTTTAGACCGTGTTCCTGTCGTCTAATAAACCTCTGTTTTACTGGCTGGCTGAGAGTCACGTCCGACTGCGAAGTGGGGGTGCAGGACCCTCTGGCTTCCCCAGGACCCCGCCTGGGCGGACTCGCTGTGGGAAGTGCACGGAGGGGCAGGGGATGCTGAATGCTCCGGGGTCAGACCCAGGAGGTGAAGCCGTGTCAGCTTCTTGCCCTGAAGACGGTCTGCTCCGAGGGAGAGGAGGCTCCCCAAAGTCCTGACTGGCTTTGTGGGGAGCAGCTCCAGAGCATCGCCCGGGGACTTCGTGACGGAGCTGTGACGAACTGGGCCTGTTCTCACTGTGGTCGGTAAATGCTGACAGGCAAGTACTCCAAGAACGTCCGCAATGGAGGATCGGCTCAATCCGGAGG